GTTTTGGACTATACTTGACTATACCCGACGGGTTCAACTATATCCGTAGTTGCCGGCCTGATCAGAGATTCCCAAAAGGGTCAGAATAGGCTTCTACCAAGAACCCAATTATGGATATAAGCTGTGAGGGGTATCGTTCAAAAGCTGCAACACTATACTACATGGTATAGGGATGCTAGCTGGAGGGGAACGAATGAGGAGTGCAGGATATAGGAATCAATCCTGTATCTGATGTCAGTTTTGGTGAATTGGAAATAAGCTCAGTGCTGACTGAGCTTGTGGCCTTTCAGCTGATTGCTGACTGAGGTTCTGTCTTGGCAGATGACTGTATTATGGCGTGCTCAAGACTTGCAGCCAATGGCACCGACTGGATTCACTATACCGGATAACTATCCGACGGATATGCGGCTGTTTGACTCATATTTTCTTATTTCTTGCTTGTACTTATTTATTCTGGGACTTGTATATAAGTAGTAGGTCATCGCTACTAGAAGACACAGCATCACCCCACGACTAGTAGGCATACACTTGTGATTCGGGGCGATCTGGAATATTCTGGTTGTGCACTACCATATAGAAGGGTGTGGCAACTCGAAATCTTACTTTATTGGATGTATATTTGAATCGGAATTATATGGGATACTAGAACACTGCCTTGAACATCGGAACTGCTACGAGAACACTGCCTTGGACCTCGGATTGATACTAGAACACTGCCTTGAACGTCGGAATTGCTACTTTGGATTATATCCACCCACACCACAAACCCCATGGAGTTGTAAACTCACCACATGCTCTTGGGTATTGTGCCTATCGTCTTCAGACACTCAACCTTGCCTTGGCTATTGCCCTGTTGCTGTGAAGCATTATAATATCTACCGTTTTGGATATATCGTTTTGCGCAAGCAAGCAATATCTCCGCAACACAGTACTCTACACACTTTCTCCTACCCAAAACCTCTCCCTTCAACCTTTTAAAGGCTCTGAAGCAGGGACTGACACTCGTCGGTTTCTACTGGGAATCTTACGTCTTATATCTTGCACTTTGTTGGTCGGTTGCATAGGCTTTTGCTTATATCCGCGAACTTTGTGTTTGGGTATAAACGTTTCGAGTTTCCCTACTAGTTTACGAGCGCACAAATCATCGTGATGCGCAAGCTTTCAGGCACCCCCTTGAGAATCGGAATTGGGACCGGCTTGAGATCCTCGAGTTGGTTTTGCAGGTGCATATTTAACTATGGGCCTCATATAATAAACTGACCCAGTCTCCAGCAACCACATATGATTCAAACGGTATTGTCTTCAGAAAGTACACCCATCCTCGCTGCAATGATCCCTGCCTTCGAGCTCTTCATGTCTTCCTGGGAGACCATGAAGGCCGACTCCGACTTGGAAGAGGAGAACATCACAGACCTTATCTCGCCCGGCCTGGTCATCGCACAGAAATACTATGACAAGTTTGCAGATATCGATGCATATATCATCGCTATGTGTGAGTCCGCTTTGCTGCACTATCCCACATTGCCTATTAATCCATGCGACACAACTTACAAGTTATCAATCCCTCGATTCGGCTGGAATGGATCAAGGGAAACTGGTCGCGGGAGGATCAGGAGAGCGCGAGAAAAATCATATTGAACAAGGTAAGGAACGCAGCACATATATTCAATGCCTTTGTTGAGAAACTTGGAAGCTCCAGGAATATTGAGACCACGATGTGGGAAGTCCGATGTCCGGTTCCAGCAGTTCTCAAAGCTCCCGCCATTCTTCTCACTCTCGTACTCATGGTTCCCACCCGGCGTCCCGGCCTCGTACACCAGTGGCAGCACCTGCTATGATCGGTCAGGTGGCACACAAGTATCGTAGTACGAGTCAGAACACGTTGGATTTTTCTGTCGCAGCAGCGACATCGCCGGGTGAATTTTGGTCAGCAGAGGAGGAGATGAACAGTTATATTCAAAGTCCAATCCCTCCGCCGCAAACAACGGATATGATTGGCTACTGGATGGTAAGATTTAATTTTCAACTCTGGTTGAGTTGCTGAATAGTCTATAGAATCACGGAATGACTACATGGCCGACAATCTATCGCCTTTTTACAGACTACGCAGCGATTCAGGCAACATCTGTGCCTGCAGAGCGGATCTTCTCATCGTCTGCAGAAACAGACTTGATGGAGGCCCTTCAAATGCTCAAGTTCAACTTCAAGAAATTGCGCTTGAATTTCATGTCGGAGTGGCAGTCAGCGCCGGTCGCAGACGACAAGGAAGATTGGTTTTGCGTACTTGCCGCTGCGACTGACGAAGCTGACCGAGCTGAGGCATTGGCAGCAGTCACAGAAAGCTTTGAAACGGGCGATGCTGGGATCCACATGCCAGAGGAAGACACAACCGTGTAGTTCAATCTTGCGAGTAAATTATGGAATGTGTTTGTAAACTAGCTAGTGAATTTTCAACAAGCCCCTGTTCTGATATCATCTACCTAAAAATACTTTCAGAAATGTCCGACTTCATTGACTCGAGTCGACTTGAGTTGACTTTGAGTGACTTGCTTGGCCAGAAGTCGAGTTGAGTTGAGTTGAGTACTGTTTGAAGTGGACTTGCGAAGTCGTGACTCGACTTTCTGAGTCACGGCAACACTATCCAAAAATGGAGCTGATGCGAGTCCAAAATGGTAATCTAGCACTCCATCAAAACTCAGTGTGTGCACAAAAAAGTCGTCGTCTCAAGATTTTCGGAAACAGCTGTAAGCAGATGGGTCGTATCACACTGTACCTGTTTTCACTGTTGCGTAAATACCCTTTTTGTACTACTTTTTCTTACTCGTTTAAACCACACAGATCAGGTCTGATAAATTCAGTGCACATCTACCCTCAGTATCCACTCCCTGGCGGATGGCCTGCATCTGCACTTCTCCGTGAAGAACAATGGCGATGTAAAAACGCCTGTTCGATCCACGCTCGAGTAATGATCTAGTTTTGTGTCTGTATTTTTCATTTAATTTTTGCACAGTTCGCTTTTGGTCATGCACTAACTTTTTTCCTCAGTTACAATAGATAAATCAGTATCTGACATCCCTCCAGGAGGTCGTTATCTCGAAGATGATCCCTTCGCAGGAGTTATGCTCCCTGTCGTGCTCCAGCTCGATTTAATTGTTTAACTTATTCACTGCACATTCACCCTCAACACCGCCTCGGTGGCGGATGGCCCGCAGCTGCTATAGTTATACCTCTGCCATGGCATAATACACTGCAGAAGATGCCTGTTCGATTCAGACCCGAGTCATTGACGAGGTTCCGTCGCATTATTGTTTCTGCGCTTCCACAGTCATACGAAATTAACGCAGTGGGTGTCTGTTCGACTCAGGCTTGAGCAATAGGTAAGCGATGTGTTGCTTTTTTTCTCATCCCTGACTACTTTGACATTGCATGCCTGAACTCCTCTCATTGCTCCTCTCATGTTCACGGTCGGTGATCATCTGACATCGAACATATGAACAATACTTAAACATTCCATAGGTTCAGCGTATCGACCACATCGGTTCATTCACCGCAGTTTAAACCCAACAACTGGGTGGCGGACGGTCCGCATCTGCTCTTCATTCCCCTGATCCTTCGCCAATATGATGCAGAGAACGCCTGTTCGAACCAGGCCCGAGTAATAGTGGTATTCCGATCCATTTTTATTTCCTGCCCAGCCACACGTGCACCGTCCGCTGCTCATGGTGCACTGACTTTTTTTTACCGAGTTAACAAAGTTAGTTCAAGACTGTGCATCGAAGGGCTAGTCAACTCGAAATTGCTCCGTTGCAATATAATCTACTCAATGCACCTCCACCTGCAATATAGACGTGGTGGCGGATGGTTCGTGTCTGCTCTTCATTCATTGGTACACCAATAACGCAGAAATCGCCTGTTCGAATCAGGCCCGAGTCATGGAGTCTTTGATGTTGTTTTTATTTCTTGCGCTTCCACAGTCTACTCCTTGTACATTTCGTCCGCCAACTTTTTCCTCACTTAGAAGGGTAACCACGAACTCGCAGGATTCTACATGGGCCGAGGAACTGTTAGTTCGCTCCACTGGCGTCCTCGCAGAAAGGAACCGGGAGGATGCTTCTGCTGCTTCTGTCATATGCAAACAGCCCTTAACGCAGATCTACAAGACGCCTGTTCGAATCAGGTCCAAGTCATGATTGAACCTCCGAAGTTGTTTTTAGCTCTTGCGCTTCCATCATCCTGGTGGCTTGTTTTCCGAAATTTAACATAAAGCTAGCCACGCAGCACGCACTCATCCCTGAGGAGATGGTCATAACTTGAAGGTGATTCCCTAGGTCCTTCTGCTCGCTCTCGTGCTCAGGTTGAATATAATTTATCCTCGCGCAGTTTAACACTAGCAGCGACTCGGTGGCGGATGACCCGCCTCTGCATTGCGTTCCCTATTGCATTGATCATGAATTAGTGCAGAAGTAGCCCGTTCGATTCGGGCCCGAGTCATGCTTGTGGTTTACAAGGATTTTTTTTCTTTCCCACACCGCCTGCCCCCTATCGTGAACACAAAGCCGGCAACCGATGCGCAAGATTGCCATGCACCACGGGATAGTCACTGAAATTGAACCTCCCTAAATTCCCCTGACACTCGAACTCACTCCGTTTCAATCTAATTTATTCACTGCACATTTACCCTCAACACCGACTCGGTGGCGGATCGCCCGCATCTGCTATACCTTGTAAATTTTTTGGCACACATTGCAGGAGACGCCTGTTCGATTCGGGCCCGACTCATCCACGACTTTAGTCGTATTTTTGTTTCTGCGCTTCCACAGTCCGCTCTTCAATGATACTCGTCCTGAATTTTCGTTCCCGAGTTAACAAAGCTAGCTACAAAATGCGCAAGATTGCGTGCGAGGGGATAGTCAACTCGAACTTGTTCCTTTGACGTCTTTATACTCGCTGTCGTGCTCGGGTTGAATCTAAGTATCCGACCGGAATTCACACTCAATATCGACTCGGTGGCGGATGGCCCGCACTTGCTATGTAAGTCTATCAAAGCATCCAGTGCTGCACTGCAGAAGACGCCTGTTCGATTCAGGCCCGAGTCATCGCTCCGAGCGGATCCTTTGATGCATCAACATTCCACATGAACTGCCCGAGTTCCTCATGAGCTCATCTGTACAATGGTCAGCGGTAACGTTACACTTAGATTACACAATCACACGAATTCACTTTTGACTCGGGCGTGTGCAATTTTCGCATACCGATTCTCGCAGATGACGCTCTACTAATCAAGAACGGGTGCCAATTTTCGCACCCAGCGGCATCCGTTGAATTCTGACTCGGAGTACTAGTACTTACATTCCTACGTGCCCAAATTAGTACTACCAAACCCACACGCCGGACCTGTGAGATTCGGACAAGCCAACCTTACAATCCAACTAGTAAGAGGAACAAGTATATTGGGGAGCTTGCTCTGCTGCAATCCCGACAGAGTACTTACGAACAAGTACACTACTTATATACTACTCCGTGACTCATACATGAGTCAGAACCGAAACTAAAGGAACCGTGATATAGTCAGAACAAGTCAAGTCACTTACATGCTTGGAGTTTGGATGACTCGGGAGTGACTCGGAGTGACTCATAATCCAACAGGACCGACAAGAATTTCCGCAATCCAGCGCATGGATCGGGGACCCTGCTCTCCGCACCAGGCATTGGCGTAACCTCTCTGCCCGGGATTTTAACCACGCTACATCAAACTGGATGATATTCACGTTCGACGAGCGCTAAACGGCTGCGCCTGCGGCGGGGGCAGCGGGGACCGGGGCGACAGGCACCCGGGGGGCACGCGGCCGGGTAGGACATTGGGCCATGCTGTGGCCCTGGAGAGCGAGTCAGCGGATACCTACGGCGATGAGAATAAGTCGGGAACGCACCGGTTGCTTGCAGCCGTAGCACGTCTGTGGCTTGGTGCAGTCCTTGATCGCGTGCCCCTCCTCTCCGCAGCGGAAACTGTATATGGTTCATATTCAAAAGGAAACGATGAGGAACACGATAGGTGTGATTCAGAAGAAAGGGCCCGGGGACGCACCACCGGATGGGCGCGGTCTTGAGCGCTTCGAGGCGCGCGGGGTCGGGGGAGGGGCAGTCGCGGCGCTGCGGGGGATTTGGTTAGAGGTTATAGACGTGCGCGATGGTGCGCAGCGCACCTGGTGCCCCTCGACACCGCAGGCGACGCAGATCGTCGGCTCCCTGCACTGTTTGCGCATGTGCCCCTCGCGGCGGCCTGCGTGAGTCCGACCCGGTCAGTATGAGGACGTCGCCTCGTCAAGGGACGTACAGTTCAGACTGAAATGAGGGGATCAGCGGACGGAAGAAATCCTGATAGTCGAGAAAGACGACAAACCAGGTAGCGGCGAGCGTGGGGCGGGTGAAAGAGATGGCGCGGAGGGGGGCGCGCAGAGAGGCGGAGAGCCTTTCCGGGGCGCGAGGGGAGAGCCGCAGGACGGGCAGGCGGAACAGCGAGAGCATCGTGGTGGTAGTGAAAAAAGAGGGTCACGTCACAGTCACCCAAGACCGCGATCACGTGTGCATGTTCTCGCGTCGCGTCGGGCTGAAGACATATAACCCTGGCTCGTTAAACTAGTCATGACATTTCAACGGCACATCATAATTGAGCAGATACACCATAAGACTGTACATCGGCCGAGTCCGAGGAGGTCGTCAGCTCGAACTGATCCTTCATCTGTACTACAAATCACGCTCCTTTCAAACGGAGCTGATCTAGGTTAGCACCGACTCGGTAGCGGATTGCCCACATCTGCTTGAGGTTTTCGCTAACATGCGTCGATGCAGAAGATGCCTGTTCGAATCAGGCCCGAGTCATTGTCTGGTCCTTCGTTTCATTATTTTTTATTTCTTGAGGGATTGTCCAGTCTTCTTCCTCCATTTCAATCTGATCCATTCAGCACCTCAATACTAGCACAGGCTTGGTAGTCGAGGCCGGGTCCAGGTGCTCATTGGATGACACAACCATCATATACAGTGAATTCCGGCGGAATATTCTGTTAAATCTATTGGAAAGATCACGCATAGCGAACACCATCCACTGAGAGTCCATAACACCATTGAACATCCAGTGATTTCCTGGCCAATTTGGCAGGAAAAATAAAATCAATCTTTGCTATGTACCATGTCCCAGAATTCTTCGGTCGGGACCTTGATCCTTCTTAAAGAAAGCCACCGGATTCCAGTGGTCGTTCATATTGATACCAGGTCGGTTAAATTGAATTTTAAATGTACAGTGGACACCAATGGACGGGGTACATGTGCACAGGGGCTGACATACAACGGCAATCGCCGCCAGACGATATCTAATCTTTGTGTATCGGATCACACCGAGGATCACTGCCGGACACCGGCGTACGTTGTTCACCAATTGTTCACCGGTGTGCTTTCATGGTCCGGCATATAACTCAAAAGCCATGTACATCATAAAGGCCGAAATTCAGGCAATCCTGATCAGACCTTTGCAGCATAAGCCGCTTTCCTATGAGTCACAACGACAGAATCCCGCCGCCGCCGCAACCACGTAGATATACGTGAGCCTACGTGTCCCTGAGCCTCCTCTCAATATATAAGAGGCACAAGAAGGAGAAAGGGATTTAGCCAAGCTCGGTATTGCATAAGGATCACACGCCAAAGTTCAAGCAGCGTTCACAGCCATCTTGCTCTCCGCCCTTCCACACCCTCCCTCCAACTCGTTATGGGTCTCTCCGTTTCTCGTTTACTCTCGGGCCTCTTCGGCAAAAGGGAAATGCGTGCGTACCCGTAGCCGATCTCACAATCAGACTCTGACGTAAGGAATTCTTATGGTATGGTCTTTCCCGCCTCATTCGACGGCCTTGATGCGATCCTCCTCTCGTAAGGTCGGTCTCGATGCCGCTGGTAAGACCACTATCCTGTACAAGCTGAAGCTCGGAGAGATCGTCGCCACCATTCCGACAATCGGTACGTGTCCATGTCGTCTTCCCCGGCGGTGCTAACCCATAAATCAGGCTTCAACGTCGAGACCGTCGAGTACGTGAACATTTCATTCAACGTGTGGGACGTCGGTGGTCAGGACAAGATTCGTCCTCTGTGGAGGCACTGTGTGTTGTGGAAGTGCGACCTGCCTCGCACGTCGCCTTCGATTCCCGAGCCAGTTCAAGCATCCAACCAAATATTCCGGCACATTGCATTTCATATTTCTTTCATTCTTCCAGCCAATCCTTCTTGCACAATTTACCTTTACTCATATTCTTTCCATCATTTTCCTCTCAGATTCGCTTTCAAGTTACTTGATCAAGACTTTGCGCATTTTACCTGCGAACCAATTCATTCAACAGTTGAAGGACAAGTTTTCATTTACCATGGAATCATCTCGTTATTGTGTTTCCAGACTTTGGTTCACATTCATACACTCACTCTCCTCTCATATATCACACAGACAATTATTTATTTCGCACTACGTACTGCCAACGTGACAGGTTGAACCACTTCGGGCATCTCGGACTACGCCGGGGATTGACCTTGAGGTAGATTGGGCACCCATCCTCGACGCTGTTGCGGGGCAGTAAGTCTCCCTATCTCATCTTTGCGTAGTTCCCAGACTGCTGGAGCTGGGTTGACTTTAGCTGCGGCTTTCCAACAACGGACTCTTATTTATATCATTTTGAGATTTATTTGTTCGTAGACGGATCATTCCCTTTTGTCTTTGCACCACCACGTATACACCTCGTTTCTGAGCATCCTCATGCGAATCCACTCTCGTTGGAGGACACTTGAGCTAAGCTTCTTATTCTATTCACTCTCTTTCTTGATCTACGCCTACTTTGATTCCTCCCTAGTTGTCATTCTATTTTAGTTTCATGACTTGGCGACCTCACCTGCACGACCTTGACACGACCTCGGTCTACCCCCAGACCACCCCTTTCTTCGATAGTGTCCATTTTCCGCCCCTCTAACCCCCGTCTCACTCCGCACTGCAGACTTCCAGAACACGGAGGGCATCATCTTTGTCGTCGATTCCAATGATCGGGAACGTGTATCTGAGGCCCGTGAGGAGCTGCACAAGATGCTCAACGAGGAGGACCTCCGCGATGCCCTCCTTCTCATTTTCGCAAACAAGCAGGACTTGCCGAATGCGATGAATGCTGTGGAGATCACCGACAGCCTTGGCCTCCACGGCCTCAGACAGCGAAATTGGTACATTCAGGTAAGCAGGCGCCCGATGACCCTCTATAAGCGCCTGCGCTAACCCTTGCCCCAAGGCGGCGTGCACGACTTCCGGTGACGGTCTTTATGAGGGCCTAGAGTGGTTGAGCGCCAACATCAAGCGTCGGGTATAATGGCATCCGAATACTTTATAGTGTTTGTTATACGTGTCACGACGATCCCCATAAACACTATTCCTGTAGCATAAACCGCTTTTCTCTCCGCGCACACACTCTATGTCATTTACCTGAGGCTATTCATTGACTCGGTGGCGGATGGTCCGCCTCTGCATAAGTTAACGCCAAAAATTTGAGGCACTACTTATGATACAGATGACGCCTGTTCGACTCAGGCCCGAGTCATAAAGATGTGCAGATCTCATCTTTTTCCTTCCTCATCCGCTCCTCTCGTGGGCAGACTTTCGACCCAACTATCATAGCTACGAGGCTGCAAATATTATACTGCACATGCCCCAAAGAATTGGTTACCTCGAAGGTAACCCTCCCCGAGGTACTACGTGATACATATCGCGTTCCATCCCAAGCCTATTTATTCAGTGCAGACTTAACCTCTTCACCGACTCGGTGGCGGATGGCCCGCCTCTGCTCTATATTCTACTGACGTAACCCAAGTACCATACAGACGACGCTTGTTCGACTCAGGCCCGAGTCATGACTTTAGTAAGTTGATATCTTTTTTATTTCTTTTGCACAGTTCCTGCTCAGCAGTGGTCTTCCGTGGACATACACTTCATCAGATGAGCTCTGACCTCGTAGCGCAGCAAGCCCAAAGTTAATCCGTGCACGTCTGCCGAGCAGATGGGTCAATGCACGTTGCCCTTGATCCA